GCCCTGAGAGGAAGTTGAGTGGGTAGAGCCGGATTTGCTTAGGTTCAGTGTGTAAACAACTCATGGAAGCTTAGGTGCATGATAAGGTGTGGCCTGGCCTTTCAGTGATTGGCTGGTTCCATTTCCTCCCCTCCCATGCAGTCTTTTGCTTTAAAAAGGGGATGCTCCCTGTTAATAAACGAGTTCCTGCTTGACTTGACTCCCCGCTGCATCTGATTGTCTCCTGGGCTAAGGGAGGCTGGGAACGGGCCAGCGGCCTTACCTTTCCTCGGACCCCGTCCGTCCAAAGACGGACGAAGACCCAACAGAGCTGGTGTATCTACTGAAGCTATCATTTATATTTGATGGTGAAACTAAAACTGCCCATGATAAAACTTAAAGGAATTCATCAACATTAAACCAGCATAACAAAGAATACTAAAGGAAAGTACACAATCTGAAAAAAGCATCCGAAGTCCAGGAAACATATCAAAAGCCCATAGAAGACCTATTTAGTAAGGATAGGAAAAGTAGCAAAATACAAGAAATGAAAAGGCAGGAAACATGACACATATCTCTATAATAATTAAACATTAATGGATTCCAATCCCCAATCAATATAAAAAGAGCAGGAGACTGGATCAAACAAAAAACAAAACAATATCCATCCATTTATATTCTCCAAGACATTCAGATCCATCAACCTCCAAGTGAAGGATGGAAAATGAGCTTCCATGCAAATGTATCTGCAACAAGGCAGGAGAGCCATAATGAAATCTGATAAAATAGAGCTTTTATTAAAATCAGTACTGAGAGACAAGGAGGTCATGACATATTAATAAAGGAAATGATCCATCAAGAGTCAATTACAGAGGCTGGGAAGGAGGCTCAGTGGTAGAGCGCTTGCCTTGCATGCATGAGGCCCTGGGTTCAATTCCTCAGCACCACATAAGCTAAAAGAAAAAAGCCGGAAGTGGTGCTGTGGTAGAGCGCTAGCCTTGAGCTGAAGAGCTGAGGGACAGCACCCAGGCGCAGAGTTCAGGCCCCACAACTGGCTCCCTCACCTCCCAAAAAAAAAAGAGTCAATCACAGAGGTCAATATCTATGCACCAAATAATGGGGAACCTAAATACCTCTAAAAAATAACTTTGGACTTCCAGAACAGAATAGACCAAGAGATTTTAATACCCCACTCTCACCAAAGGACAGGTCAACCAAACAAAAGATAAGCAAAGGAGTCTGTGAACTAAATGACACCATAACCCAAATGGACTTAAGAGACATCTACAGAGTTCTCCATCCAACAAGGGCCCAATTCACATTCTTCAAAACAGATCATATCATAGGACACACAAAGAACCCAAACAAATATAAGAGGATTGACACAATTCCTTGCATCCTACCTGACTGCAGTGGAATGAAACCCATTCTCAACAACAAAATATACTGCAGAAATTACTCAAGCACATGGACAGCAAATAAAACAAGATGGAATAAAACCCTGATCACAGAAGAAATAGATAATGACACAATTGTAAGGTTCAGTCTGTGAAGCAGCTGGATGGACTGTGGTCATTTTCAATCATGGGGTGTTTTGATCAGTTTTAGAGCTTTCTGTTTTTGTTCTGCAACTCTCTTCTCTCTACTCTATTCATATACATATGTAATCTGGAGAATACAATGTAATATAATTTACTTTATACATTATATAAAATATCCATACCAGTTGCCATTTATTGTAACCTGAGTCCCAACTAGTCACCTGTGTGTTTTTGCAGAGATTGTAGCCATGTCCAAGGGCAGTTGCTAGCATCTTCCTCCTCCTGCATGTCTTGGAAATCCTCTCCCCATATTTAGTGTCACCCCATTTCTTTTCTAGAAAGGTCAGGAGGTTGTGGCTGTCTGAGCTGTGGCTTCCTCTGGGAAGCAGTGACTGCATGGGTCGTGCCAGTGCCACATGGGGTCACCCACAGGGTTTCCTGCTCCCTGTGTGGGACGCTGGTGCCCCAGGGATCCTGGACACGAGCTGCACAAAGTCCGCAGTAATCACCTCACAGATGCTAGCAGGTTTACTTAATTGTCACCTGGGAAAAGACTTCCAAAAAAGTTCTGGGCTCCTGAAGTCTGCACGTTGCCAGTACAGACAAGAGGAGAGGAAGTCAGCTCCCACCGCACCCCGCACCCTGAACTCTGGGCCTGGGTGCTGACCCTCAGCTCTTCAGCACAAGGCTAACACTCTACCACTTGAGCCACAGAGCCACTTCTGACTTTTTCTGCTTATGTGGTGCTCAGGAATCAAACCCAGGGCCTCATGCATGCAAGGCAAGCACTCTACCACTGGGCCACCTTCCCAACACTTACGGATATTTCTGAGTAATTAATTGGAGATAAGAGTCTCACAGACTTTCCTTTGCAGGCTGGCTTTGAACTGGAATTCTCAGATATCAGCCTCCAGAGTAGATAGGATTATAGGCACCCAGCTGAACTTACATCTTCATCGCAGCATTGAGTCACAAGACACAGGGACACAAAGTATGGACACCAAAACAGATGGATGGAGAAAATACTTCCAAGGGACAACATCTTGAAGATAAAATGTGACTACATCCAATCAAGCACTGAAGAAACATTCCCTATCCAGGATGCAATGAAGGTAGAAATATCAAATAAGAGAATAAAGTAATAGAATTTTTTTCTGGTGGGGCTGGTATTTGTGGACATTTTCCCCATAGTCTTCAATGTCTTTGCCTCACGAAGCATAACGTGATTCTGAAATTGCGCTTCATTGTCATGTTTAATATTCCTATGCAACCACATCTTGCAATATAAAAACCTGTGCTGGGCTCTGGTTTCACATGTGCCATTGCTATTTTATCTACACGAACCCTAATGGTGTGGAGAAGAGCACTGGGGACAAAGAATTTCTGGGGAAAATTTGATAGAAATGAAATAAAACTCATCTGGATAGAAATCGTCAATTGCTCAGTAATTCTTTTTTTTTTAAAAGGTTATTTTATGGACTAAAGCATGGACACACTGTGAAAAGAGCAGCAGCAAAGTTTAACTGGAGCAGTTCTGTATAACCATCCTCAAGAAAATGCTATTCTGCTTGTATGTGTCCTGAGGTTTAAACTCAAGAGCCTGGCAGCTGCTGGGAAAGTCTCCAACACTGAGTGACCCTAAAGTTCTTGTTCCACATCAGATTACTGAAGTAACAGGCCGTAGACAAAGACCACCAGGGAGCCATCGCCGATGTATAGTCATTAGCGGTTATAGGATAGGATAAATCATACATAGCAAGCATATTATAGGTTGGGGTAGATGGGGCCAATCACAGGAATGCTGAAGGTGCTATTCCTGGACTATTCCCTGTCCTAAATTGCGTCCTGACAGAGTTGGGAGGTAACTGGTCAGGGCAGTCTGAAATTTCTGGGCAGATCAGGACGGTCTGATTTCTTAGTTATTTTTACTGTTACATTTTCTTGGAACATGAACTGACACTCGTTTTCCAGATAACAGATGTTTTCCTTAGAGTTTCTGAAATCACTGCCAACTTATTTTGGCCTCTCACTTACATTCTCGACTTTTTTTTTTTTTTTTTGCCAGTCCTAGGCTTGAACTCAGGGCCTAGGCACTGTCCTTGAGATTCTTGTGTTCAAGTGTAGCAGTCTACCTCTTGAGCCAGAGGAACCAGTTCCATTTTTTTCTGTGTATGTGGTAGCGAGGAATCGAACTCAGGGCTTCATGCATGCTAGGCAAGCCCTCTACCACTAAACGACATTCCCAGCCCCAAATTCTCTACTTTTGAAATACTTGTTTCATGTCAAAATCAAGATGAATTCGTCTTCTTAGACAACCAGTCAGTAGTCTTTGCTACACAACAGCCACAGTCATTGTGTGCAGGGACCGCCATTCTGCATCACCTTGGTCACATCCAATCTTCCTTGCGTTCATGATCCATGGAGAATAAGTCTTTAACGGCTACGCAGGCAACGCGTGGATGACTCACGCCTTGCTGCTGTCTGGCAGGGCTTCTTTTGGGTGTGAAGCCTGCGATGGCACGTGAAGTTAGAGCGCCGGCTGCACACCATGCCGCATATGTCACATTCGTACGGGCCCTCACTGATGTGGATCTGTTGGTGGCGCACCAGATTCGTCTTCCGGGAAAATGCCTTCCCGCACTCTGTACACTGGTGGGGCTTATGTCCTGTGTGGATGGCAAGGTGGCTGCGGCGTTCTGTCTGGGATTTAAAGGCTTTCCCGCACTCACTGCACACGAACGGTCTCTCCCCGGTGTGTGTCCTCTGGTGGCGCGCCAGGTCATTTTTCTGTGCAAATGCCTTCCCGCACTGGGTGCAGCGGTGCGGCTTCTCTCCGGTGTGCGTCCTGCGGTGCATGAGTAGGGCGCCAGGGTAGCCAAACACCTTCCCACAATCCTCACACTTATGTGGCTTGCATCCAATGTGAACAGCCTTGTGTGCTTCACGGGATCCACGCATGAAGGCCTTGCCACACACACTCTGGAATGGCTTGTCTCCAGTGTGCATCCTGCTATGCCGGAGGTGGCTGGAGCTGTAGCTGAACGCCTTGCCGGACTTGGCGCACTTCTGGGGCTTGTGTCCAGTGTGCATAGCCTGGTGTGCTGCGAGAGTAGCAGGCACTCGGAAGGCCTTGCCACACTTTTCACACACATATGGCTTCTCCCCAGTGTGTATCATGCGGTGCACAGTGAGCCTGTTGGCCTTGCAGAACGTCTTCCCGCACTCCAAACAAGAATAGGGCTTCACATCACTATGGCTTCGCTTGTGAACCAAGAGACGAGAACGTGTGGAGAAAGACTTCCAGCACATGGTGCAGTGGTGCAGCTTCTCCCTAGTGTGGCTCAGCCGGTGCCGCTCCAGGACTGAGGGGTATCTGAACACCTTCCCACACTCCCCACATTTGTGATGCTTTCTCCGAGTGCGTGCTTTAGGTGTTTGTGAGGGCAAGAAAGAACAAATGGAGGCGTTATCACCTGCAGGGACGATGTGCATGTTCCCACTGGAGGGGCTCTCCCAAGGGCGAGACATGGGGGCCCCTGCCAGGGCGGATTTCTCCACCTCAGTCTTCACCCCTGGCCCTTCACAAAGGTAGGGCGGGAGCCCGCGCAGGTACTCCTGGAGGGGCTGTTCAGGCACAGGCTCGTGGGCTGCTTTCCCACATGACCCCCACCCTCCTGTTCTCCACCACTGCCTCTTCTCTGTCGACCACAAGCACCCCTTTAGCAGAAGACATTCTGTAAGTCCACCCCTTCAGCGCCGCTCCACTCCCACTCCCACTCCCACTCACGCGGAGCTTTCTGGACTTCTTCCCAGGAAAACTCGTCAGTGCCTTCGTAGTCATGACTTTGGGATATTTCTCCCCTACCGCTGCCCGCACTGGGTGGCAATTCTTTAATTACATATCTAGGAGAGGTATCTGCAAAGATACAAAGTTCCCATCTGATTAATCACACAGTTAAGCATTTCACACTGAGAGAGAACAAATATTAGACACATAGCAAATAGTAGACACACACTGAGGAGCCCTTTGAACTCTGAGAAACATAAAATCCAACACTTAGGAACACAAAAGGAAGAGGATTCTTTCATTGGAAAGTCAATCATATGGAATCCAAATTAAGAGAAGGTAAGCTGGGAATGGTGGCTCACAGCTGTAAACCTAGCTACTCAAGTGCCTGACATCTGAGGATCACAGTTCAAAGCCAGCCTGGGCAAGAAAGTCCGTGAGACTCTTAGCTCAATAAATCACTAAAAAAAGCCAGAATTGCAGTTATGCCTCAAACTGGTAGAGTACTAGCCTTGAGTGAATGAGCTCAAGGACACAATCCAGGCCCATAGTTCAAGCCCCATGACCGACCCCCCCCACCCCAAAAAAACCCAAACAAACAGAGAAGATAAGCTGCATTTCAAACATGCATCCTAATCAAGTTGAGCGGAGAGGAACACAGGACATTCTTCCTTGGGACCCATGGAACACCTCACTACCAAAAACTATATGGTGATTATCATAACCAAAGAGAAAAGAAATGCTATCTATACCACACTATGTACAAATAAACGCCACGTATCACCCAGTATATTGTAATGATTCACAGCCCACAACACATTACAGCCAAATTAACAGGCAATATCCAATTGCAAAGCAGAGGTGGGTAATTCAGTACAATCAAAGAAAAGAAACAAAAACAATGGAATATGTGCTTTAAATTGCCTACAGGCACTCACAGCAGACTGTAATATGAACAGGAGATATCTAGCACTTATATTACACAATACAGGCTGATTACACTTTGGTACTAGGCAAGTTACCAAAAAAAGAAACAGTAACCCAGGATAAAATAAACAAATCCTAGCCGGGCGCTGGTGGCTCACGCCTGTAATCCTAGCTACTCAGGAGGCTGAGATCTGAGGGTCATGGTTCAAAGCCAGCCCCGGCAGGAGAGACCGTGAGACTCCTATCTCCAATAAACCACCAGAAAACCGGAAGTGGCTCTGTAGCTCAAGTGGTAGAGCGCTCGCCTTGAGCTGAAGAGCTGAAGGACAGCGCCCAGGCCCAGAGTTCAAGCCTCACGACCGACAAAAAAATAAAATAAACAAATCCTTTCCCCTTTAAAAAGAAAACAAGAGGGCTGGGAAGGTGGCTCAGTGGTAGAGCCCTTGCCTTGCATGCCTGAGGCCCTGGGTTCGATTCCTCAGCACCACATAAGCAAAAAGAAAAGCTGGAAGTGGCGCTGTGGCTTAAGTGGTAGAGCACTAGCCTTGAGCTGAAGAGCTGAGGGACAGCGCCCAGACCCAGAGTTCAGGCCCCACAGCCAAAAAAAAAAAAAAAAGAAGGGGAAGGGAAAAAAGGAACAAAGAAGAGCAGAGAGAAGCCTGCCATAGCTGACATGCACATCAGCTTCCTTAAGCTGTGGGACACGGAAATGCACCACAGGAGCAGAACAAAGGATGGGTGTGAAAGTCCTTAGGCTACTTTAGTACATTTCTGTCTTGGAGTCCACAGGGGTCTCTCTAGTCATTCAGGGGAAAAGAAAGAAAAGAATCCCAACTTTTCCTCACCCACAGAGACCAGGTTCCCATAGGTGTCCAGCATGACGTCCCTGTACAGAGTGCGCTGAGCCTGGGTCAGGCACCGCCACTCCTCCTGGGTGAAATCCACCGCCACATCCTCAAATGTCAACTGTCCACAAGGAGAAAATCCAAAAGCATTTCATACACACATGCATGGACTCAGAAAAAGTATTACATGGAATTATAATCAATGCCTACCATGACAAAGCAATCAACACACCAGGGACAGAAGGAAGCTTCAGGATGTTAGGTTGTAATGGTGTCTTTGATATGACACCAAAAGGAAAACAACTATGTGGAATTGTACATCCCTGCATTCTTCTGAGAAAAGTGACGACATATGAGGAGCTGTGTTAAAAGGACCCAGATAAACATGAGGGGCTCTTGCCTGGAATCATAGACTCTCAGGAGGCTGAGATCTGAGGATCAAGGTTCAAAGCCAACTGAAAGTGTATGAGACTCTTATCTCCAATTAAGTTATACCTGAAGTATTAGAGCACCAGGCTTGAGCAAAACAGCTCAAGACAGCACCCAGGTCCTGAATTCAAGCCCAGGGTTGGGGGGGAGAGATAGGGGGGAGGAGAGAGGAGAGAGAGAGAGAGATCCCAACGTTTACAACAAAACCAGCAGTGAGGTTTCAGCAAGGACACAGGAGTACTTGGTGGGTGATGCCCTCCTGTGCCCACGCCCAGTGGAGGGGACACGGCTGAGGGAAGGCATGGGGGACATGAGCACACGTGGCAGGCAGGAACCAGCAGAGTCAGCGCCCAGGCCAGCTCTGTACACAGGAAGGAGATGCCACATGGCTTTACCTGAGTCATAGCCACCATCCCTGCTCCTTGTCTTTCCTCTTCCTCGTCCTTGGGCTTCCTTTGCAGGTATTATCACTTTCAGAAGTCAGTCCTGAGTGCTGAAAATATCCCATTTAATGCTCACACCCAACACATACTCCCTGTGCCCTGGCTGGGCAGGGAGGACCTCACTGTGGGATGAAAGTCCTGTGCTGCCCACTCATGGGGTGGTGGGGAATGCCAGTCCTGGGGCTGGAACTCAGGACTGGGGCTCTGTGCCTGAGCTTGTTTCCTCAAGGCTGGTGCTCTACCACTTGAGCCACAGATCCACTCTGGCTTTCTATTGGTTAATTAGAAGTAAGAGTCTCAGGGAGGGTTGAAGAGCCGAAGTCACTGAATGAAAATGCACCAAGTACACAGTTTGAGTCCCATCTGTGACCAAAAAACAAAACAAAACAAAACAAAAACCAATCTTTCCTGTTCAGGCTGACTTCACTAACCTCCATCCTCACATCTCAGCCTCCTGAGTGGCTAGGGTTACAACCATGGACCCTGCTCCCTCTACTCTCCTTGTAACCCATGACCCCTCTTTCCCTCAGACCAATGGCTTGCAGAATTTCAAATAGTTCTCTTCTCCTCCCACCTGGAAGTGCTCCCGCATTTCTTGCACCCGCCACCTATGTGAGGTCTTGCATCCTTCTGGAGAAGGACATTCCGCATCTCTATTTGCTTTCCTCTCTGTTCATGCCATTGAACATGCAAAGCCTGCACCCCATTACTACTTTGCCCCCTGCTGTGGGGGCACTCTCTTCTCTTCCTGTTTTCCAAATTTCCTCTCAGTCCTTCTCCTGATGATCCTTTGCCCTCACCTTCCCACAGCCTTCCTACAGGTCAAGTGCAAGGAAGCAGGCCCCAGGTTTTCCTGTACCCCTCATCAGGGATAGGATGGGGAGGGGTAGCAGTGTAGCACAGGGCAGGGTAGAGGGTGAGGTCTGGTGGGGTGGGTGAGGTGGGTAGGGATGAGGTAAGGTGTGGTGAGGTAGTGTGGGTAGGGCTGAGTAAGGGTGAGGTGGGTGAAGAGTTAAAGTAACTCCATTTTGAGGCAGGAGCCATTCTGTCATTTATGTTGAATTATGAGTGACCCAGAGAAAACAAATTCCAGGAAATGACCTGTCTGTGTTGAAGTTAGCCAGAGCTCACATAAATCCCAAGGACAGAGTTATCTGTGGCCACAAACTTCCCTCACTTCACAGATAGCCCAAATGGTCTGATAACCCCCTATCACCCTAGAATGTCCTGTTAACACATCTGGTTGTGTAACTTTGTGGTTTTTGCCTTTATAAGCCCTGTGAAGGGCTGGGAAGGTGGCTCAGTGGTAGAGTACTTTCCTTGCATGCATGAGGTCCTGGGTTGGATTCCTCAGCACCACATAAGCAAAAACAAAAAAGCTGGAAGTGGCGCTGTGGCTCAAGTGGTAGAGCGCTAGCCTTGAGCTGAAGAGCTGAGGGACAGTGCCCAGGCCCAGAGTTCAGACCCACGACTGGACCCCCCCCCAAAAAAAAACCAAAACCAAAAAAACGCTCTGTGAGAGACCCAGGAATACCGAGAAATACACACGTTCGTATACACATGCGTATGTTCACATTTATGACACTACCAATAAAGGAGAAAAATGAGGATGATAAAAAAAAAAACAGGGCTGGGATGTAGCTCAGTGGCAAAGCGCTTGCCTAGCAAGTGCAACGTCCTGGGTTCGATCCCCAGTACCAAAAGAAAAAAAAAAGAAAAAAAAAACACGTTGTGAAATTTCAGCTCGGGGCTGTCCTCCTAAGCTCCGCTGTGTTGGTGGGTAGCTGTGTTGGTGGGTAGGACGAGGCCCGAGTTGCAGCCCGCAGCTCAGCCTGAATAAAGCCTTGCTTTTGCATTTCGGAACGTCTGACTCTCGGTGGTCTTTTTGGTGGTGGTCCTGCGGCGTAGACATTACAGTGGGTAGGCATGAGCTTAGGATGGTAGGGGTGAGGTGGGTAGGGTTGGGGTGAGGTAGGTGGGGTGGGTAGGGGTGAGGTGAGGTTGGGTGGATAGGGGTGAGGTGGGTAGAGTTCGGAGGGGCCCTGGCCCGTCCCTGCTGCGCGAGCTCCCAGACGTCCCTAGAAGACCCCGGGGCGGAAGGAGCAGCCGACGCCCGTTCGCGCTCCGCCGACCCAGCCGCGGAGCCGGGGAGCCCCAGTCACCGCGCCCGCCCGCGTGGGGTCCGCGAGCCCCGCCGGCCGCGACGCGGGGCCGCTTCGGGTCCGGCACCGAGGGCCCCGGAGGAAGTTTTCCTGCCGGGGACCTCGGACCTGAGCCTCGGGGTGCGCCGGGGGTCTGCGCCCGGAGACCCTCAGCTCGTTACGGGGTCCCAGAAGGGGGGGATCGGGCCCGGAGCAGGGGCGAGAGACCGGAGGCCCGCGTCGGGTCGGAGCCGGAGCGGGGCCGCGGCTGGGAGGAGCAGAAGCGGGGACCGAGGGCCGTGTGGCCGCGCCCACCCCACCCTCCCCGCGAGCAGC